GTCAAGGCTATCAAATATATCCACAAATATATCTACAAGGGCCATGACAGGACTACATTAGAGGTTCGGGATCATGATGAGATCAAGGAGTTTCTGGATGCATGCTACATTTCTGCTATTGAATCATGCTGGAGGATGTTTTCATTTCGGCTACATCAGGAGGAGCCAAATGTTGTCCGTCTTCAGGTCCATCTCCCTGATGAACAGCTTATCACATACGATGAGAATGACAGTCCACAAGAGGTGTTAGCAGCAGCTGAGGCAAAGACTACAACTCTGTTACAATGGTTTGATCTCAACAAAAAGGATCCCAGTGCACGTCAGTATCTGTATCAAGATATTCCTGCCCACTATACCTGGAATAAGAACAAGAAACACTGGAATCCACGCCAAAGATATACTACTATTGGCATTACCATTGGCCGAATGTATCAAGCTGCCCCCTCATCTGGCGAACGATTCTATCTGCGGCTTCTTTTGACTGCTGTTTCCGGTGCTCAATCCTTCCAACACCTACGCACTGTCAACAATGTGGAGTGTGCTACTTTCAAGGAGGCATGCATTGCTATGGGATTGCTGGAAAATGATAATGAATGGAGACAATGCTTACAGGAGGCAGCTATTATGCAGTCAGGAGCACAGTTGCGATCACTATTTGTGACCCTTCTTCTCTTCTGCCAGCCAGCAAAGCCAGATGAACTGTGGGAGGAGTTCAAGGAGAACATTTGTGATGATTTGGCATATAAGCTCCGCCAACGTGATGTTCCAAATCCAACAGATGCTCAGCTCTATGATTTTGGTCTTCATCTTATTAATAAGCTTCTTCAATCTCATGGTCATCGTCTCTCTGAGTGGACCCAGATGCCAGCCTCTACCATGGACTGGGCTGCTTATGAAGATAATCCTCTTCTGGCTGCACAGCTGGCCTATGATATCCCATCTCTGCAGCAATTAGTTGCTAACAATCTTCAAACATTCAATGAAGAGCAAAAGACTGCTTATAATACTGTGTTTGACTCTGCTATGAATGAACGAGGGAAATTGGTATTTCTGCATAGTGCTGGAGGTGGTGGAAAGACTTTTGTGTGCAATACTATTGCTGCTGCTGTTCGTGCTGAAGGAAAGATTGCATTGACCTGTGCCTCCTCCGGTATATCAGCAATTCTCTTAGTTGGAGGGCGTACCAGCCACAGCACCTTCAAAATTCCAATTCCCTCACGTGATGATACAACATGCAGCATTCGCAGAGGGACTCACTTAGCTGAACTTCTTTGTCGAACTTCTCTTATCATTTGGGATGAGGTTCCTATGCAGAACCGACATGATATTGAGACTGTTGGTCGTACTCTTCGTGATATCTGCAATAAGGATGCTCCCTTTGGTGGAAAAACTGTACTTTTTGGTGGTATGTGTGTTTATTTTAAGTCACTATAGATCATCATTTCTGATTATTTATTTTAGGAGACTTTCGTCAGACATTGCCAGTTGTTTCACGAGGATCACGGGAGCAGATTGTTGCAGCTTCATTTCGCCGTTCACCTTTATGGCCTCACATTGAAGTCATTCATTTAAAGAAAAACATGCGCCTGGATCAGACTCCAGAAAATGTAGAGTTTGCCCGTTGGCTACTTACTGTTGGTGCAGGTGAAGGACTTACTGATGATCGTACTATCACCCTTCCTGCTTCTATGCATCTGGCCAACAATTCACTCTCTGAACTCATTAAATATATCTATCCAAACATTCAAGCTGGCCACTTCCAAGACCACTTCTTTTTAGAACGAACAATTCTCTCTGGACGCAATGATGATGTTGATGAAATCAATCAACAGGTTCTGGATATGTTTCCAGGACAAGAGACAGTTTATTGGAGTACAGACAAGACAATAGAGGAAGAGTTGGATGATGCTGCTACTCTTTATCCAGTGGAGTTTCTTCAAAATTTCAATGCCTCTGGATTGCCATGTGCAAAGCTGGCTCTCAAAGTTGGATGTCCTCTTATGCTTCTCCGCAATCTGGATCCAGCAAATGGCCTATGCAATGGAACACGGATGATTCTTACACGTTTCCGTCCTCATGTATTAGAATGTCGTCTTCTCAGTGGTAACAATGCAGGCAAGGCTGTTTTCATCCCACGCATCACAATCAATGCAGATACAGCTGAACTTCCTATTGCATTTTCACGTCGCCAATTTCCAGTCAGGTTGGCTTTTGCAATGACAATCAACAAGTCTCAAGGACAGTCAGTTACTTATGTTGGATTAGATTTACGTACTCCTATTTTTTCTCATGGACAACTCTATGTAGCACTTAGCCGTTGCACTTCTGGACAACGAATTCAAGTACTCTTTCCAGATACAGAAAAAGGTACAAATACTTTGAATATTGTATATTCTGAGGCTCTATTACCTTCATAATACATATTTCTTTTTGAACTAATAACTGACACTCCTAAGTAATAAGCCGGGTTTGGGGCGGGCCCCAACAAGCCGAAGTCCCGTGTCGCAGTCAGGTTGCTGGGACCCGAGGTACGAGGGTCCAGCAATCGTGACGAAGACACGGGGCATAGGCTTGTTATAAATATAAGGGAGGAAGGTTATATAGAGACATGGATATATAAATATATAATGTCTATATGGTATAGTGGTTAGCATGTCTGCTTGGCAAAGTCATATGATATTGATAGCAATCTTTTTAAGATCTTGGATTCAATTCCCAGGTTAGCCAGATTTTCTGATAATATCATGAGTTGGGCTGCTGACTAATATACCATATAATCCTGGGAAATTGAATATTTTCAACTGAAACTTATATTGTGTTTTCACTATGTGTTAACTGACACTATTTGATGCCTTAAAAGTAGCAGCTATAAGTGTCTGGTGTCATCGCTACTGTGGCTTGATCTTGAGAGGTTAGTGTGGCTCCTAAGGATGACTCTGATGATGAGCTTGGTGCTCTCGTGCATCTGACTACAAGTTCTCCTGTTTGTCCACCTATCAAGTCATTGAAGGATGCTTGAGCTGCTGGCCATGGACTTTTTACTTCGAACATTTTACAATAGCTTTTCTGTATGTGCCCTCCGGGCATATGTTTAGTTTCTGTAGTGCCAAAGTGTGGATAGGCACGTAAAATGCACTTGTTTTCTCAAAGCTGTCCTTTCTTGAGTGATGTGAGGTCTATATTTCAAGAATCCATCTAAGTCTCATTCTTGAGGGGTACTAGTATGTTCTCTACACGATCCCCGCAACAGTGTAGTGAGCACTCAGAGTGCCGCTCTAGATGCCTGACATCCGCATTCAGCTAGAAATTGATGATGCGATCATTCTTCCTTTCAGTTTTGAGCACTAGTCTCTCTACTGCTAGTGAGGTTTCCAAGTTAGCCATGCAGGCTTCCACCCTTTTGAGGTACACTAGTGACTCGTTAAGTGTGACTAGTGAACTTTCTCAAAATATAAGTCCACTAGTGACTTAGGATTTTCACTAGTGTCCGATCACAGTGCACTATTGACAACCGATTGGATATTGTGGCTGGTTTCGCCATCACTAGTTGTTTCGATTCGACTTGGGTATTCTTTTAAACAGTTGGATATTGCGTGAGTGGCGACACTTGTGGCCTAGTCTTTAGTAATTTCTTATTGAAATTTCTCGGAAATTTTTGTGAAATTTTTGTGAGATTTTGACTAAGTCCAAGAGCACGGTCCTCCCCCACACTATAAATTCAACGTCCCCGTTGACTAGTCATTTCATCGTCTCACTAGTAGACTTCTTTTCGTGACTAGCCTCATCACTCCAAAACTCCTCAACTATTCTTTCCAAATATTTTCATAAAAAATCGTCACTAACCATGTCCAATCCTACCGATGTTGCTGTCCTTGTTGCTTGCACCAATGAGGCTATTCAAGCCGCCGACACTTTGTATGAGCACACAGTTGAGCTGGAGACGCTTGTCAAACAGTGTAAAGCTGTTTGCGCTATCGGGGTATGTGGACTAGTGATTCAATTTTCGATCTTCGACTGACTAGTGATCCAGGCAGAGCTAGTGGAGAAGCATTGTGCTTTGGTCATTGGCAATGCCAAGAACGAGGACGTGGTCTTTCATATCAAGCAGGTCTTCGAGCGAATTCAGTCTGACCACTCCACCGTTCCAACCTTCAAAGACTATCATACCATTCGTACTTTTACCAGGACCATCCATAGTGAGCGTGACAAGCAAGCAGCGGCTGTTGCGGCTGCTATTGCAGTCATTACCACTCCTGCTGAGTCGACTCCCACCAAAACTACGGTCACTAGTGGCAAGCCTAAGGCTTCCAAAGCAGTGAGTACTTCACTAGTCATTGTTTCTTTCCATTTCTGACCGACTATTATGCTTCCTAGCCTGCCAAACAAAGTCACCGTCTTGCTAAGTCGAGAGCCATCATCAAGGACTCGTCCGATGAAGAGGCTAGCATCGTTGCAGCCACTGAGGATGACACTGTCATGGGTAACCCTGATGCTTCCAGTGCGCCACCGGAAACTGACTCGGTATTGATTCCTTCAGCTGCCATTCGTCGCAAGGCTGATACCGTCATTTCGCGCTTTGAACAGATGAATATCGATGAGGACATTGATGTCATTGTCAATCGCAATCCGACTGCCAGTAATATCGTCGAAGGCCACAAGGTTCCGCTTCCCAAGTTTCTCAAGAACAAGAAGGCTGCTCAGGTTCGTTTACTAGTCGGTTTTCTTCTTTACTAGTCTAAAGTTTTCTTTCAGAGGGAGAAGGAGAAGGCAGAGCGACGTATGGAGGCAATTCAGGTGATTCCCTAGTTGCTAGTATCAGAACTTCACTCATCTTCACACATTTACCAGGCCGCCGAAGCGACTATTGCCAAAGGGAAGGCCATCAAGGCTGCTAACCAAGCCAGGAAGCGTCCTCATGCCTCTGCTGACCATGCTTTCAAGGATTCCCCTTACACTATTGCTGGTATGTGCTTACTATTGAGTTATGCGATGCCCGATTCACCTTCTTTCTTTCACCAGCGGCTGACTTAGCTATCAACAACGAGGCTAGTCAGGGTACTATCAACGCTGCGGCTTCACTAGTTGTTGCTGGGGATCATATCAACCCTTCCGAAAGTGTCTTGCACTCTAGGGAGGCTGATCTTCGCAACGATGTGATTGCCACCACACATAAAATTGAGTACTTGTTGAAGTACCGGGAGTTTGTGGTTGCTCACCATGGCCAAGTTGTCAAGCAGCTTGAGAGCCGCCTCCCTGTGGCTATGGAGGCCGATTCCTCTGCTCCAGTTGCTTCTGGCTCCAAGCTTAACTAGTACTAGTCGCTCTGGAACCTTACTAGTCGCCGCATATATCAATTTTCTATTACTAGTCTGTTGTTTTTCATGATTTCCAACTGCCTAGATACAGTATCTAGTTTACACCGTTGTTACTTAGCAATATACAGTGTTTTTAACCGTCTCCTATTGCAGTTTTTGAGCTCCTGAGTTGACTAGTGATGGGGACTTTGTCGTCTTCATCACTATTGCTATCATTATCATTAAGCTGAGGGTATCCCTCCGCTTCTGAAGCTGAATCGTCGCTGTCAGACTCACTAGTGTCGCTCTGCTGCAGTCTAACTCAGTCTACACCATACAATTTCTTGCCTAAGGTCCGATAGTGGTATTCTGTTGGGACAGACTCATCACTATCCACCAACTCTTTAAGAGTTTGGGGATTTACATTGATTAAATCATGAATTTTCTTGGGTAACTCGACACTATGCCTCGCATGGTATGGGATTACTCTAAACTGAGCGACTGTGCTGCCCACTATTGAACCATCCAACTCTGCTAAGACATAGGAACCACCTTTTGTCCTTCTTATGACGACTAGTGGCCCCAAATACCTTGGCTCCATCTTGCTATCGAGACTGTCCTCGACTCGCGTGTTGCGCATGAGCACTAGTCGACCTGGTTTGAAGTTGTAGTCCACTATAGTGGCCTTGTGCTCGCATTGATAGCGTAGTACTGTATCGAGTTTATTCTTGCTTACTTTCTGTCGCATTTCCATTACATGTTGCACATGCTTGGCTAGTGCTTTCACTCATAGGCCTATAAGGTCCGCAGTGCTCAAGATTCCACTCGGAGGCTTGACTAGCCAAGTCGCTTCTACTACATCAAGCGGTACTATTGGATGCGCTCCTAGTGCCATGAAATACGGTGAACAACCGGTACCACGCTTAATAGTGATGCGGTCAGCCCATAATACATGCGGTAGGAAGTAAAACCACTTCCTTGAGTTGCCACTAGTCACTTTGAATAGCGCCTGATGAAGGTCCCAATGACCCCTTTCAATTTTTCCATTTGCTTGTGAGTTGTAAGGCGTGATCCTTATGCCAGTAATGCCATACTTATCCTTTAGCCACTGTATAACAGCGACCCAAGGTCCTCCGTTATCAGTTACTATTTCATAGGGACAGCCCCACCTGCATATCACATCCTCAAAGAACCAAATTGCAATTGCTTTAGCATTTTCATTCTGTAACGCCCTAGCTTCTGGCCAAGATGATAATGAGTCGCGCGCGTGAACTATATACTTGCATTTGTTAGATGCCAGGGACATGATCATAGTGTCGCAATGTACCTTCTGGAATAGCGACGGCGTCTGAGTGACAGAGGGTGGAATATGAAGCATGGTCTTCTGTCAGACTTGGCATAAATGACAAGACTTGACATACCAACTGACATCTCTTTCCAGCTCTGGCCACCAGAACCGTTGATCCAATAGTGACTTAGTCGTGTAAAAGCCTCAATGTCCTAACGAGTCATGTGCCGATCTCATCATATACATTTGATGCTCTTTATCCACTACTAGTCGATGATCTCCTTCGGTACTGCATCTATATAATTGTCCTTCTTTATCCAAGAAGAAGTTACGACAGTACTGCTTGAAAGTCAAGTACTGCTTGTCATTAAGTCCTTCTGGACGATACCTAACGTTTCTCAACCAAGTCCGGACATGCAGTAGTCGTTCATCCTGCGCTAGTCCACTACTAGTCCATTGTTTCTCTGGATAGTCCTCCCTTTTGTTGGGATTGAACTTATACTCGAGATCTGGAATGAGTGGAGTTGCTTTCAAGAACTGGCATGTCATTTCATTGGTGTTTTCCTGTGCTAAGTATAGATTTCTTAATTCTTGTTCACGAGAGCGTTGACGAGGCTGGTAACGGGCACTCGTGAAACTAAGCGCAGCCTAGCGTGAACAACACTCTAAACCACTACTCAATCCCACTAACACACACACACACACACACCAATCTCAATAAGTGTGGAAGGGAGCAAGGAATTTAATTCTACTTGCGCCCTGACAGTATCTCAAAATATCTTAGAGAGCTCGCTAAGTAATGCAACACGATCGCGTACAATTGTCAAGCAAATCTCAATTTCTCTGTTTCCTCGGAGCTTTTACAAGAGAGCACGGTGAACCACGCAACCCTCAAGGCAAATGATATTTCAATAGAAAATACACACGGATACGCAGATCCGCAAAACGATCAAGTTTGTTCAGTGAGCTCGCTAAAATACAAATCGCCGCTAGGTTCTACTGTGCGTGACTTCGATTCCTTTCCTAGCTTGCTAAGTCTGAGTCCTAAACTTGTCGTGATAGAGGCCCTTGGCACTCTTCAATCACAGTACACAATTCCTTTACTAAACGTCCCCACGAGTCCTCACACACAGTGCGCTCGCTCT